TAGCTCTTATCATGAAATAAGGATATAATGAAATCTAAGACATATATTTTAAAGAAAACTGGTGTAACACCCTTTGAGAATTCACTGGGGAAATTCCATCTTTGTTATGTAAGTTTTCATACTTCTCTGCTGTCTTCTGCACTCCCTCGCAGTCCCACATGCTTCGAGGTCGAAGTCGACGTCTAATGCCATTTCCCACGACTAACAAGTACAAATTGTCAATTGTGACCCGTCTGTTTTATATAATAAACTATACGTCACAGTTCTAAATCAGAATATTGTCAATACTCACACAATGGGTATGGTACACTGAAACAGAGGACTGATCACTCGTTCATGATCTGTTACTCAAGTTACGTTAATGTAATGAGTTAACTCTCGAAAACTCGCTGTTCCTGTAACATGAAATTATCCAGTGACAATGACAAATCACAGGTTTATAAGTATGTATACGTATGTGTGTGTATGCGTGCGTGTGCATGTACAATTGATGTGGTGTAATGAAGTGCAAAGATCAATAACTTACATATGAATGAAATCTGATATCTATACTGAAAATTAGACCCTGTGCAGAGTGGACATGTAACCAGTTGAATAACTGTCAGTTATAACTTTGTGCGTTATGTTACTCTGTTAAGTGTGAGACAGCTCAGTACATATAGTGACGACGTTATGGGCTTAATGGCCGGAGTTAATCTCCCAACAGGGCTAGAAATTATTCCTTTCAGTCCGTGAAGACTGGCGTTGGCTGTCATCAGGTCTCCTGCCCGGTAGGTACCAAGGACATCTCCCAGATTTTACAGCGGCCTTCGTCTACTACCGATGTTAAGAATGCGTGGAACCATACCTCCGTTTCCTCATCAGACTTAATGGTCTGCTGCTGTATTAAGCACAGGGACAACTTTGTTTTTTTCTTAGCACCCTCTCAGTGTTTCGGTTTGTCAGTTGGTAAATTGTGAGTAAGTGAGTTACTTTTGTTGGTTAGTTACTTCTTTGTCAAAGATTTCTTTGAGTGTACATTATATCTTAAGTAGGGAACCTCATGCAGGAAAAGTTCTGCACGTTCAGCGACATCTCGTATATTGTGTTTCTGGTTCCGTCTTATGTTTAAATTATAATCCAGTAATTTTCTAATTATAACGTAACGAAATGCATCTTTATCTGATGATTCTGGTTCCGTCTTATGTTTGAATTATAATCTAGTATTTTCCTAAAGATGACGTAACAAGATAGTTACTATCTGATGATGGGGCAACCTTAAAATGTCTTAGACGGAGTACAGAAGTTGGTAAATTACAATTACAGTTGCAGTTATTCATCTAGTTGATTACGTACTCCAGCATTTTTTTGTTCATAAAGTGGTTGGCTCGTTCTATAGTAACTTGATCAGTTAGTAAATGTTTTTGTTAGTTAGTGATTCTGTAGGATGGTTAGATAATCGTTTAGTAAGAAGCTGGGCGGTTAATAAGTTGGCTAGTAGTAAGTTAAGTTTATTGTTGGTTTGTTTGCTTGCTAATCAGTCAGCTAGCTCAGTCGGTAGAGCGACGGGCTACCGACTGGGCAATCGCGATTCGAATCCCGGAAGAGGCAACCGTTTTTTCATTTCTCCACAACCTCGGTGCCCAGCCAGCCTGCTTTTCAGTGGGTACGGGGGGCGATTTCCGCGAGGGTAAAGCGGCCAGGGCGTGAAGTTAACCACTCACTTCAATCTAATGCTGAGGTCAAGAACTGTGGAGCTATACCTCCACTTCCCCGTATGTCTTCATGGCATAGTGCTTAATTAGTTACGCTCAGAGACGACATTGTCGTTAGTGGTTATTTAGGCGTATGCGTACACATATGTTCTGAACTGTCAGCTGTCAGTTGGTTAGTTACTTGACATATTATTAGCTAAAAGTAGGCTGGGCAGACGGACGGTCGGTTACTGTTTTTGGTGTTTAGATGACTAGTTTCTTATCAGTTAATCAGTCGAAGGTGCTGAGGTAGCTAGTTAATCAGTTATGCATTCAGTGCTGGAACTGGAGCGCCTGACTTGCCTTTCGGGAGGAAGAGAGAGAAAACGAGAGAGGGAGGGAGAGAGACTCATAGAGTCACGTAGCTGCCCAAAATACCCGCGGAGCAGCGGCAGCCGGCCGGCCAGTCTATTTCGGGGCGAGGTGTAACCTGACCAACAAGCCGACTGACTGACTGACTGACTGACTGACTGACTGACTGACTGACTGATATGCTCTCGCTGTCAGTACATGTATACATCGACTAGGGATGCGAGGTGCAAATGTTGCTCATTCCTTTGTTTGATGACTTTGCGGAAAATGTCGAGCGTACTGCAGTATTTGGAGCGAATTTATTCGCACTCCTCAAATATCTGGAATTATACGAAAGAACACTGTCTTGCAAGAGATATTTGTCATAAAAGAAAAATGTAGTGATGAAGGCACTAAAATTAACGTGAAGTGGAAATGTTATTTGTTAATACTTTGCTTGTATTAAACCTTAACACCCGTTACGCGCTCAGAAAGTCCTGCCATCGGAACCAGTCACGGTTCTCTTCAGTCCAGTCCACACACTCAACTTTTTCGATCTAAGATCCGTTTTCATATTAAAAGCCGGTATTATTCCTTTAGAGGGTTCGTACCAAATTGTATATATATTTGTAAATGTAGGGGTAACTATAGACGGGGTTTGAATTGGTGACTTGATTTGTATGTATGTATGTATGTATGAAGGGGTAGGCCTTCTCGGCCCTTGCACTTAGACCTCAGTGGTCCATTGTGCTTCCCCTTTTTTTAATTATTCCCTCAGCAACCCCACGCTTCGGATGAAGCGCAGGATTTCGGACGTGGGGGCGTCGAAATAGTCACTTGGTTCCATAAAGTACTGACCCAAGTGACGTAATCTTAAATAAGCTAAAGCCTCACATTCACACAGGACATGTGTGGCTGTTTCATTTTCTATCTGACATCTCTCACAAGTGGGACTATCACTCAGTCCCAGTTTGAACAGGTGTCCTTTGAGGTGACAGTGTCCTGTAAGTAGTCCTACCACCCATCGTAGCTGGTTCCTGTTGAGCTTCAACAGTTCCTTCGCTCTTTTAGCGGAAGGTCCTCGTATGAGTCCCTTAGCTTGCCTGAGTCCAGTTAAGGATTCCCAGTATTTCTTATGTTTTATGTTAGTCCAGTCCCTGAGTGCCTGTTTGTCAACTGCTAGAGAGATGCCACAGGCTGGTTGAGGTCCTATGAATGAATGTTCAGCTCCAATTTTAGCTAATTGGTCTGCTGATTTACTGACCACTTATACACTCACGATTCGTGATTACACTTACATATCACTGACACGCAAATATTAGTGTCCGTAGTATTACCGTCTCAACTAGCCGTTTCCTGCAAACAGATTTTAACACAGGAACTATAACAGTCTCACTGAATTACACAAGCCAAATAAAACATAGAAACAAAATTCGTGGCCTTTAGTTCGCAAACGAATTATACCGACCGAGCGACCGCCGCTTGTCGAAGTTAGTGTTAACTTTTGCGGATAGAGAGTGTCACGTGGTCAGCTCAACGGATCCCCACGGCCTTTAGTCTAGGTTTCTAGACCGGAGCCTCTATACCCTTGAAATAGCTCCTCAATTATCATGAGGCTGAGTGGACCCCGTTCCAGACCCAGTACTTCCCAGAAAAATTGGTAGCTCCTGGAATCGAACCCTGGGCCTCTGGATCTGTAGGCAGGAACTCTGACCACTAGACCACAGAGGCGGTACCTCAAATAATACACATAATGTCTTCTTTTCACAGCCGGACTTTCGACTGAGCATTCTCCATACAAAACTTTTCAGCAAAGTCAAAGTCAGAATTACTTTAATACTGGCGGTTTACCGTCAATCAGTTCGTCTTGGCGCCAAGCCCCTTGAAACCAACAACCAGAGACTTTTTTTTCAGCTGAACTCTTACAGTCATAGTCCTTATGTAACATCCTCTCTGACGAGAAGATGGGTTTGTCTCTTATGAATATGCTTGGTCTTTCGTCAAGCGTACGTGTCGTACACATAGCATGTCACTGAAAATTCTTCTTTTTGCACTATCCAAGGCCTCTCTCAGTACAGGCCTTGCAAAGTAGGTCATGCCTATTTTATCTTATCTTTTATCTAATGCTACAACGGCATCTCAGTCATTTGAATGGTTGTAAGCTTGACTACCGCCAAGATTGCCCCTTCCTTTTACATCTCAACACGGACCACGTAGAAACACCCCATTTCCAACAGCAACTCGATTGTTGCTGGCGTATTCGTTGACGCGCGAACGCATTTACCGAGCCGTTGCCCAGAAACGGTCTCTATTTCAGGTCACAGCTTAGCAACGGGTCCACACGCCACAATCATTCATCACTTCCCCATGCGTAACCAATTTGCGTGCCCTGCTTACCTGACCTATTTTGGAATTGGATATAAAAAAGTCAGAAGTTAAAGTTCTGTCTTTGCTTAATTAATTAAGCACCGCATCGTGGAGATGTATGGCGGGCTAGAGATATGGTTCCACCATTCTTGACCTTGGAGATGAGTTGTTAGCTTCACGTCTCGGCCGCTTTACCCCCGGGGAAAGAGTCCCCGGTACCGATTGATTAAGTGTCTCATAGCCGGTCTGAATGTTGTGGAGATGGACAAAATCTGTTGCCCCAGCCAGGATCAACTCTGCAGTTCATCTTGCAGTCTGTCACTCTACCGACCGAGATCGGACGTAGCATATTTCAAGTTTATATCTGCTCATATACGGGGTACATAAAGAAAGCCACAAAAGATTGTTTTCGGCCTTCTTGCCGATAACTGGACTTCGGATCTTCCGAATATAAAGTAAGGCTATCAGTATTCTCACGAAGAGGGTAGTAGAATTGCACATCTTAGTCAGAGCAGGCAGGCTCAGGACCAAGGAGCAGTAGAGCATATTCGGTGAGTTCACAAATATTGCGAGGCATGGTAGCCTACTGCACACTGTGGTCTGTTGCAGGGACATACCAGGGCCAGTGGCTCAGGGGGATGAGGCACGGCTACGGTGTCAGGGCCAGCGCTCCCTTCGGAATGGCTTCACACTACCGCCCTAACAAAACAGTTCGCGCCTCCATGACTTCACTTCGGAGCACAGAGGCGGGTGGTGGCAGCACTGTCGGAGGGGCGGCAGATCCTGCCGCAGAGAGGGACCGGAGGGTGGACGACTCCAGGGGCGGCTTTGTACTGAAGGCACGCAGTGATGAGCCCCCCGCTAGAAGAAGGTCGCTGGTGGAGAAGGGATCCAACATCAAGTCCATCTTTTCGGTGCGTACCGCTTGGCCTCCCACTCTGTCCCTGAGTTGAAGTTGCCCCTTTGAAGGTAAATCTCCCGATAGTTACATTGAACATAGGACAATTGGCATAGTTATGAAAACCTTATTACAGTAATTAATCAATGTACGAAAACAGTCTCGTTTGATATTACGAAGGATATCCGGAAAGTAAAGATACAAAGTCCAGACAATATTTGTAAAGCATTTTTTTATTCACTTGTAGCACTTTTACAACACACCTTTATTTAGTGTTCAATATAGTCACCATGGATCGCAATGCACTTAATGAGCCTGGGAAAGAGTTTTTTTTATTCCAGCGTCATAGAAATCTCCCGTCTGCTCTCTGAGCCATTGAGATCAGTTCTTGACACTTCTGGGCTTTGTTGATGAAGTTCATCGACTGTTAAACGTCTTTCAGCACGAATGTTTTCATCAATATTTTGGATGATTTCATCAGTGACAACGGATGGCCTTCATCTTGAACATCCCTTCTTCCCGCTTCAAATTCATGACATCATTTTGCCACGTTTTGCCTGTTCATAACATCTTCGCCGTAAACAGAAACAAATTGGCGATGAATTTCAGCAACAGTTTCTCCTTTCACGTGAAGAAATCGAATTACTGCACGAACCTCACATTTGACGGGATTTTGAATCGACGTGGCCATCTTAAACACACACTCCGAGCTCAATGTTCAGTGGACGTGGCCGGTGAACTCAGCCCTGTCATACGGTTCCTACCTCACACGGCAGCACTGCCATTTCTTGGGAGGGGGGGGATTGCATTTTTACCGGACTTGTATTTTTACTTTCGGGATATCAGTCGTAGCACTGTAGGATTGCGTTCCTACTCTTTCTTTCTTGTCGTATCACACTATTTCTTCCTTTTTAGTAACAAGAAGAAATATATATACACGTGTATATATATATATATATGTTTGTCTTCATCATTGTTACTGTAGAAAGCAAACATATATATATATATAT